TCTCCGTGTAGCTTTTGAACAAAAATACTTTGCACTTGGTTGAAAAAAAAATTCAATAGATTTTGTATTTGTTTTCAAAAGAACTATACTTCTACTAAGAACTTTTTTCTTTAAGCAATAAATAATCTTCTATGCGGAAATATTTTTTCTTGCCGCTAATAACATTTTATCAAGAGACTACTTTAGTTTAAGGGCACCTTTTTTTTAGTGGACACGACTCGTTAGTAACGAGCCGCCACTGGGTAATCCTCTGAAGCGATCACTTGCATAAACCAGTGGCTCAGCAGGCAATACGTGCCACTGAACGGGGGAGCTTTGCAACGTTGCCGTCATGTTATAAGACCGCAAGGTTGAAAAAAAAATGAGAAATTAAAAAAATATTTCAAAAAGTCATTACTAAAATTATTTTTCATATAAAGTCTGAATTATAGATTGCTTTTCTTCCTTCCTCCCGTAGTCGTGCCCGTACGATTTCTGCGTCTTGTAAAAAGTCAATTTATAGATTTCCGTGTAAAATTCCGTAACCATGCGCGATGACACCTAAAATGGTTGAGATTTGTTTTTGTTTATATTCTCCGTTTTACCCATTGTAAATATGAAAGATAAACATTTATATATTAGTACAGTGATCACAATTTTAATTACCCAGGCAGCTTGTTGTATAATGAAAAAAAATATCGAACAAGACGTTAGAAGACTCGCCCACTTTACCAAGACCTGGAAACTACGGAGTTTACAAAGCAACGTTTCTAAAAATGAAAGACATTGATCATAAACAATATCTAAATATCCTATTTAGAGACACAAATTATTTAATAAACTGAACACCTATATTAAATAATACTAAACAATCATGTATTTTAAATATTTTGTGCCTACGCGCTGTCACCCTACAGCGCATGTCCATAACAAGCACTGTGATTGGTCATGTCAAAGACCTTTACGGTGAAAGATAAAACTTAAAAATTTCTACGGGAGCAAGGAATGCTGTCCTTACGGTACGGGAATCTATAACTGGCACTACGATTTAAATAAACATTTTTGACGTAATTGTCACCATTAACATTGCCCGTTATTAATTTTAATTAAACTTATCAATTATTGATACTTTAAAATATTAAAATAACTTCAAAATATGATTTTGTTAAGAAAATATTTTATCCTTTGATATTTTTTATTACTATAATTGCAAAATATTATCACAAAGTATTAAAAATTCTTACACGGGAAATGTTAATGGTGACAATTACGTTAAAAATGTTTATTGGGTTTCGTATTGTTCATCTTCTACGGGAGGAAGGAAGGAAGGAAGGAAGGAAGGCAATCTATAATTTAGACTTAAGGGTCGTATGCAGAAACTTTGATTTATTTATATCAACTGATTTAGCATATTAGAGTATATACATAGGTTTTTGCACAACATGGCAACGCAGTATTTTTCTTTAAAAACTGTTGTTTTATAAAATAAATTGGGTAATTATCTTTCAACATTTATATTTTCCCTAAAAAAATCGATTTCTATACATTGAAATTTTAAATTAGACATAAAACAATTAAAATTTTATCAGGATTTATTTGAAATTTGTGACATTTGCTTTTAATCGAAGAAAATAATTTCGCTAATATAAGTCATGGTTTACTAGATTTGTTTTTTGGCCAATAAAATCATCTAAAATGTAAATCGCTGGTCGTTAACGACTGATTTAAAATATGAATAAAAATAGACAGTATTTTTGTTTGTAAATATACTATTTTTGTTTGTAAGTATACTATGAAAAAATAAATTCAGAAGGTAAACATACCTATAAAAAAGATATAATTAAGAAATAAAAAAAATTAAAGATACAATTACTACCATGTTAATTATAATTATATAAATATCAAATATCTTTACTGGTTTTTTTATTTGATTGAAAAGCTGAACACTTGAAATCAATTGATTTATAACTTTCTTTATATTATTAGTTTTATGTTAAAATACATAATAAATGTTTACTTTTTAATATAATACCTAGATAATTAAAAAAAATTACCATTTAATAAATAATAAAGATTATAAAATACAACCAAAATTTTGTTTAAAGAATATTTGTCTTATTTTTAAAAAACTTTTGAAGAATTTAAAATTTTAGACCATGTTCAACTTATTTTCTGCTTTTAAATTTTTAGATTATGTGCTTGCTCTTAGAAATAGAAACAGTAGGTTTCGGGCAGGCCCGTAGCCAGAAATTTAGTTTGGGGGGGGGCCAAAACGTAGTAATAATATTTTGGGTGGTAGGGGGGCGGAAATGGTTGATGGATAAATACCAGTAAAGCGTGAAGTTGTCATAAAAAATATGGCTTGTAATCGATAGACATATTTTTAAAACATGATTCACATATTCAGGAAAATTTTAGGGTTCACGGAATTTCGGGGGGGGGCCCGGGCCCGTCGGGCCCTACGGCTGGCTACGGGCCTGGTTTCGGGTAAAGGCCTCATCTTTTTTCTGAGAGGAAATTTACACTCTATTTATTTTTGGGCCCAGAAATATACTATTAAACATAGAAGAAAATTAAATGGAGGTACAAAAGGGCAACATGGCTATTTCAAATTGAATATACATATTATTATATTATTAATAGTTTTTGCCAATAATTCAAGCTTAAAAGGTATTTTATAGGAAAATAAAAAATACACCCTGTAGGTAAAAACAAATGTTTTTGCTAGAAAGCAAAAACAGGAACAGTATATGAAACTGTTTTTATATTTTTGATACAAATTGTTTTTACCATTTATAATATTATGGCGCTTTAGTCACGGACTGAAGTTAGCAACAGGTTTTTGGTCACGGGCTGAAGTTAGTTTTAAGTTAGTTGACAGTTGTCAAATGTCATACAATCGTTAAAATTAAATACCTTTCTTGTAAAATAATACTAAATGTAAAAATTATTTTATTATCTCAATACAAAAATACAAAAGTATTACATAGTTCCTCAACGCCAATATTTGAAAAGTCTATATGAACATTGTACTGACCTTTTAATTTCGCCGGCAGTAAACTATAACTTAAATTCGGGCACGGACTTCACTGTAAAGTCCTCATAAAACATTTTCTTTACTTTCACTGTGAAAAACTGTCAATTTTCAAGAAATACATTTCAATTTATAACCTTTATAATCTGTGTTTATAAAATATAAAAATTTGACATTTGACGATGACACACAGATTCCCCTATTGTTTCATAGATGGCGCTCTATACAAATTTTTGATTTAAATCATTTTAAGATAATAATAAGTATTTGTCGTAAAAAAGTATAGTATGCACCTCGTTTATAAACTTTTCACCTTGAGAAAAATCCAATAATATACAATAGGAAGAGATAAAAAAATATTTTTGTAAAGTCATTTTTAACGCAGTTCTAAAGCTTAATTATTTGATTAAAATTTTAAATAATATGGGTCAAATTTTCCATATATATATAATGTATAGGTATTTTCTCCAGGGTATTTCAAAGTTATTGCCATCTGCCTCTATGAATAACCAAATTTGTGTTTTAAATATTTATTGGAGATGTTTAGTAATTTATTGGTAAACTAATATCCACTTTGTAGTTTATAAAATGCTCGGTAAAATTGTGAAATTTCGCCTCATTTATGACATGTTGTTTTATCAGGGGATTATTTTTTTGTTTCGAATTTAACAAATTATATGTTCTTAGAGTTAAATTACGTTATTTTCGCCAATTTAACTAGAAAATTTGTTATAATTACATACTTTCTATCGTAAGCAATGAATTTTTCAAAACTTTTACAATTAATTAAAAATACATATGGGTGATTCTACAAAAGTTGGGCAACTTTTGACCTCATTTTGTTTATATAGTTTTCGGAGAAAATTAAACAGTATTTTGTTATAAGAACATAGATAATATAATAAATATACTGTTCCAGACCGGGCCAGTCACTTTTTCAAACAGTTTCTGAAATATCTGTGGTTTCTAAATTTGAATGCAAGGGAAGTGACGAGTATACCAGGGTACTTATTAAATACATAATTTATTGGAAAATATAAGATTTATTGCAACTTTGTGCATATTATACATTAAATATCTTAAAGTCAAATAATACCACACATCAGTGGCGGCTGGTGGATTTTGGGTATACCGATATCTCAATTATTAGATATGGGACCCACACCAAATTTAGATAAGTTTATAATGACATTAAATAAACAAGTTCTGCGCAAACAGAATTTAAATTGAAGTTTGCGAAAAAAAGATAACCGAAACATCAAACATGGAACTGACGAGACGGTACTGATAAATGGGATACAAATTTGAGATTATAATTCGGAATTAAGTATTTTACTGATATTTTTTATTAGTGGATGCTACTTATCAACAAATCACATATAGCCTTATATAAATTATAATGAAATATATATACGTAAGAAAATAACTACTCACCACAGTACTGAAATTTTGACTGGACTATACGTGCATTCACCACAACTTCGCCGCTTGCATTGTTTTCAATATGACTGTCGTGCAAAGAGCGGGCTGTGTAGGTAATTTTTTACCAACACTTGAGTTAAAACGTCCTCGAGGACTTTTAAACTTCAATATTCCGCAGGAATTTTGAATTTTAACATTGGACACAGAATATTCGAATCTATGATAAAATATGAAAAATACATTATTTAATGTTTTATAGTTTGTAATTGAATATATTTTAAAATAAAATCACTCAAATATTTGATTCAAGAGTTGTGACACGCCAAGGTACTGATGTTTTGAATATTTATTATGTTTTTCTACAAACGTGCTTTTGAAAAATACATTAAAGTTGGGTGGACAAGTTAAAAAAACCTGGATCTTTTGTAATATACTAAAATATTTACAAAAAATATTAAAATACCCACTCTATTGAGTGATGACATCAAGTTGTCCAACTTTTGTAGAATCACCTATATACAGTTTGTAAATTTTACTTAACCTAATTTTTTTTTATTTTTTTTAGGACACAGTATGGCCCCAGCAGCACACCGGCACACCTCAGGGAGAAGTCTTGTACTGTTGATCCTTTGCCTCCAAACTATATGTCTTCAAGTTACGAGTGGTGAGTTTATTTTTTAATTTTTTGAACCACCACCTCAACCAATAAACCCATCTCACAAATTCAACCAACATTTCATACTTTTATTAACAATTTACGGATATGCATATATACTATAGTCCATTCCATTTAAGAATGGATTATATGTGGCTGCAAAACCCAAACGCAAAATTAAAAAAACCAAAAAATTTGATGTTATCAAACTTTGACCTCGAATAACTCTAGAAGAAATCAATTTATCGAAAAATAATAAGATAGCTTTTTTGTAGAGCGTTACATTTTATATAAGAAACTGCAATGATCATTGCCATAAGTTATTTTGATACAGAGTTATAAAATTCCAAACATAAAATTATTTTTTCCCATGTTAATTAAATGGGAAACTAAAATAAAAACAGCGACCTCTTAGAGTTGAGCTGAGACGCTCATATTTGGTGAGGATTTTTTTATATTAAATAGAAACATTTAAAAGGGTAAGAGCGAAAAAAAAATTTAATTTTATTTTTTGAAGCACCCTAATGTATATACAGGGTGTTATGTAATTAATGTTATATATTAAAATACTGAATACCTTTTGACATAAGGAATAAAGGAAAAATATTTAAAAAAACATTTTTCCAAAGATAAAGAAAAAATATGCATTAGAAGTTTTTTATATTTTTTGTGATACGCCACTGGTTACACACTTGTTTATCTCTGCACACCTGTATTTTGTGAGTACATAAATACCAACCAACAAAGTAGCTATGCGTTGCCAGATGTAAAAAATTGTTACTAAAAATTTTTCTTGCAAAAAATAAATAAAAACTCAATAAATACAAAAGTTTTATGCCCTTAAAGCTCTAATACCCTTCTGTATTTATTTACTGATCCAGCTATTAGCTTAAGCAATGATTAGAAAATTTAGTACCTTTGAAATTTGAAATCCATAAGCACAAAATTAATTTTTTCATCAGTTTTTTTCTCTGTTTACTCAGATGAAATTGGGACCAGTTCACAGGTTAAACTTTTAACATTTAATTTGTGTAAATAAATCCAAAAGCACTTCCCTTAGTTAAGATATTTACAATTTGAAAAGATAACCTAAAATTTAAAAGAAATGCACTAGATTCTGTCATAAAAGTTGGCAGATTTTGTTTGAATTTACCTTCAGTACAAAAATGACATAACCAACAATTAATAAAAACGCCAAATTGACAATTTGCATTGTTAATTTTGTCATTTTTGTAATTAAGCTAAATTTAAACAATGTTTGTCAACTTTTTTGAGAGATTTTGGAAACACTGTTGTTACCAACCATAACATAATAAATCCACCAGATTAACCTAAAGTTCCTAGTCGATCAGTGGCGTACTTTTTGGTAGGATAAAGGTTATTATAAATTATTTTTAGACTTTGGAATTTAGAAAAAAAAAGTTTCAGGTGCTTCTTTATGGACCCTAAGGAACAACCCATTTTAATATATAACATTAATTACATAACACCCTGTATATACTAAAATGTATACTTTGACTGTGACATACACATGTATCAATCAATCAATACTTTTTGTGAGCCTTTGAATATTTTACTATTGTTTGACAGCTGTGTTGTCACAACAACATTATTTTCTTTTGTGAGTGGAAACGTTTATGTAAATTTTGTGCGGAGCCGGCTGAAAGCGGTGTGTTGCGAAGCGTATGAAATTTTTCCTCGCAAATAAGAAATCCACGTATACGTTCTGCGAAAGCCGACGCATTTATCTGTACAGAGTAACAGACAAGACAGATCTTTCCATACAAAGTTTCCATATTAATAGATCCGAAAAACTTTTTATACACCAAATCGTACTTATTTGTTTCTACTGAACGCGTCCTCATTCGCTACAGTGCACAGTGCAAAAGTTAAGATTACATATGGATAAATTTGTGTGTTTAAATATTTTTTATTAACTAAAAAAAAATAAAAAATGGCGAACCAACTGTCAGAAAATAAATCTGTCAACCATGTTAACATCAGTTTGTACAGTTAATTTTTTTTATCTGGACAGTTTTTATTATTTTTAAAATGGTACTTCTGGTAAAGAATTTAATTAAATACTTTGACACTGTCAAATTGACATATTATTTATTATTGATAATTTACTTGTCAATTATAAATAAAAAGATAATTATGCCAAAAATAATAGCAACGAATTCGAATGTAAAAGCCCTTTTGAGGGCAAAACTTCATTTTGATGAAATTATGCCAAATGCCACAATGGAAGAAAAAGTACATCGCCTTATGGACATTTTGGAGTAAAAAAGTAACGAATTTGGTTTTATAAATATTACATCACACATTATTTTCACTTTATTCACCATTGGACAACATTTACGTTCACAAAAAATTTTAATTTCTTTTATATAAATTCTTTTCAAAGCGAAGATTATTATCCGCTATTAATACTTTCTCTTCTGGGCAGTAAAGCAACCTATATTTAACTACTTTTTTTACATGATTTTACTCATCCAAGCACCACCAAAGCCAAATTAATTGCATTTTTAACTACGAATTTTGACAACTCAACTTGACAACTGCACAATGTAACCTACAATAATTTAAACATAACCACAATTAGATTTATAACTAGCTTAGTTTGTTTTAATCAATGCGACCAACTTGACAACTGTATTTACCAAACAAAACCCTAAATTTGCAACGTTGCCGCAGTCCAAATAAAAAAAAACGAACTTTAGATTGTTAATTTTATTTTGTAAAATTTTAAAATATTTTTTTAAAGAAAACCAGGCTATGTAATTATTTTTCCATTAATTAATGTTTAAAAAGTTTAAGTTCATTCATTTGCTTTTTAAAAACCTATCCACCGTGAAGTGTAATATCTGATTAAATAGTTTTTTATAAATATTTTATGTATTTTAAAAAAATATTAAGTAGTCAAAAGATACAATAACTTATTTCAAATATACAAAGGGATGTTTAAAAAAACATACGAAATCCTAACCTCCGTGAAGCTTAGGTTTTTAAATTGAAATAATTTTTAACTCGAAAACTTTTTGTAAAAAAAAATTGCATTTTTTTGTTCTCTTGCACTGTGCGACAGTGTCACTTTGTCAGTAGATCATGAGCGCTGCAGTGCTGCCACAGTTACGAAAGACAATAAATTCAGGCAAGGAAAAGGACACATTGTTGTCGAGGGGACGAGTTTATGTTTCAAACTATTTTGTTCTGTACCATATTAAATGCTTTTGTTTTATTTTGCATAAACTTCTCTAATAACTTCTATTTTTTTGTTTCGAACTTTGGCGAGGTGTAGGTTCAATTTTTTCTTATATTCTTATGAATATTACCAGTGATGGGTCAAGAAAGTTTCTTAAAGAAACTAAGAAAATTGAATGTTTAACTTCTATTTCCACTGATAAAACCATTCGTGTTGTACTGCATTCATTTTATTTTATGTGACATCCTAAATGCAGCTACTTTTGAAGTTGAATTTATTATATTTTACTAAAAATTATGGCCTTTGAAATAGTTTTTTTAATTTGGTTTTATTGGAAAATTATTAAAAAAAAAATAACCGGAACAAAATTTATATAAACTAGCTGTAGACCGGTCGCGTGGTTTTAATAAAATAAAAAAAGAAAGAAAATATAGTACCCACATTATTTTTTTTAAACGTTTAATAATTTCGTACTTTGCTTTTTGTAATAGGTAGATAATGTTGACGGTATTAACCTAGATTTAACTAATTTCAGGTGGACACTCCACCGTGAAGTGCCAATAAAACATTCTCTTCACTTACACTGTTTTTTTTATAATGGTTTAACAGGGTTTAAAAAGTCAACTCGTCGCAGGTGATGTGACAATTTATTCGTATTAGGACAAAATTAACCCAATGTAACCTCACCCTTTTATACACCCACGAGCCGCCACTGCCTTTCACAGATGTATCTCATTATTGAGTATAAATTCGCGAAGCGAGACTCCATAATTATAATTATTCGAGCGGGACTCTTGCTTTAATTGGAATAACTTCATTAAATGAAATTGTTTTATTTAATTTGGATTTAATTTATAAGAGTGGATGGGAAGTACTGAGCACTAACAGAATAAGGTTAAATTCAGCCTAATTTTATGCCTGAAAGGTTTCAAATTGAAACCTTTTAGGCATTTAAAATCAATGTACCTTTTGATTGATTTTATCAAAACAAAATAATAAGCTTGCAAATTTATATGAGTTTATAATGACATAGTTTTTAAGTGTGCCCCCCCAGCCTCCTGCCCCCCAAATTAAGATAATTCAAATTAAAGTGGTACAATATTTAATTCACTGAAGTTTATCGACAAATTTCAAATTTTATTAAAAAAATTCAAGAATTACAGGTTACCATTTTAAATTTTAATTATTTCTTTTTCTAAATTTGCTGGGGGGTTATATACCATTTTAAATTTTTATTATTTCTTTTACTAACTTTTTTTCGCAAACTTCATTTTAAATTCTGCTTGCGCAGAACTTGTCCATATAATGTCATTATAAACCCATATAAATTTTATGTGGGTCCCATGTCTAATAACTGAGATATGGGTGTGCCCAAAATCCACCAAATTGTCAATTTGTTTATAACAACCTGAAAAATTTGACGCCATATATGTATACATATATGTATATATCTATAGATACTGTCAACTCACCCGTCACAGGTTTCTTGATACAAAATAATATTTAAAATTTTAGAAATTGTTAAATATCTGTGAAATGATTAACTTTAAGTATAGAAAATAGTTACATTAATCGAAATATCCGTAACCTAATAGCAAAACAGTTATAGGCTTTCTTTAATTGACGCGCATTTGTCAAAAATTAATAACTCGAAAACTATTCACTTTATGTATAGGACATGGTATGGTAATTTTATGTAGAATTTAAAAATTAAAAAATATATGGGACGTTCTATTTGAAATAACAAACTTGACAAAGGCTTTAAAAATTTCAAATCAATATCTTTGTTCGTTCCTCAGACACT